ACATAATTTCAGATTTCCGCAAGAGGAACATTGATGCCTCCGGTGTGCGCTGGCAGAGCCGGGGGGACACCCCGTGTGCCTGTTGCCTGGTTAATGTCACCGCCGGTTCTCGCACCGTCACGCTCTATGACACGTAAGGAACATGAACCTCGTTTCTGTATTCCATCCCATAATATCTGTACATCTCCGATGTGTGGCCCTCTATGTGTGGCCCTCTATGTGGCCCTCGGCTGATGTGATGCAGAATGAGTAAAGCCGAGTGTGGTGAGGAGGAGGATGGAAGGTGGGCTTTGCGGGCTCTCAGGAGTGCTGTGTGTGGGGGGGCGGGGTCTCACCGGAGGCGGGCAGTGTGGTGTCAGGAAGGAGCCGGAGGAGGAGCTCTGCGGTCCCGTGCTTGCTGTCAGTGTCCCGGATTCAGCCACCTGACACCCGGACACAAGACTAGAATACCGGACTGTCCGGGTGAAGTCCATTCCCATGATCCTTCAGGGTAAATATCCGGTGACAACGCATCTTCCTATGGCACTCCGATAGGCCGCTGTAATCCCGGGAGAACTGCAGACACATCTCATTATGTGGCAGAGCGAAGAAACCACGGAACAATTAATTCCCGGAGATACAAAGTATCCGCTACACTGTGTATGTTCTATGGAGAGAATTGTGTGTGGGAGGAGCTGAGTGCGTGTGGGAGGAGCTGAGTGCGTGTGGGAGGATCTGAGTGCGTGTGGGAGGATCTGAGTGCGTGTGGGAGGATCTGAGTGTGTGTGGGAGAAGCTTATCATTATTATTACATCAGAAGCGTAGGACCGCAGGGCAGGACCGTACCTCCTTGGCTGGGGCATTGGCCGGCTGATCCTGTAGAAGGACACGGAGATGAGACGTAGAACCCTCCCCCCACCTTCAGTGCTCCGGTAACATTCGGTGATCTGTCCGTGTTTTGGTTAGGGACGCTCCTGTTTTTAGGCCACGCCCATTTTTATACCTCGTTCCTTCTCTCCGAGCCCGCAGGAACCTTCCAGATGTTACCGCAGAAGACTTCCAGAAAGTGGACCTGTCCTCGTACAAGTGGATTCACTGGGAGGTGAGAGAAACCGGCGGAGGAGCCGATCATTATACAAGCCGTACATGGGGGGTGACGGTGGAGCTGTGCCGGTGACATGGCCGGAGGAGCTCGGCACACATGGGGGGTGACGGTGGAGCTGTGCCGGTGACATGGCCGGAGGAGCTCGGCACACATGGGGGGTGACGGTGGAGCTGTGCCGGTGACATGGCCGGAGGAGCTCGGCACACATGGGGGGTGACGGTGGAGCTGTGCCGGTGACATGGCCGGAGGAGCTCGGCACACATGGGGGGTGACGGTGGAGCTGTGCCGGTGACATGGCCGGAGGAGTTCGGCACACATGGGGGGTGACGGTGGAGCTGTGCCGGTGACATGGCCGGAGGAGTTCGGCACACATGGGGGGTGACGGTGGAGCTGTGCCGGTGACATGGCCGGAGGAGTTCGGCACACATGGGGGGTGATGGTGGAGCTGTGCCGGTGACATGGCCGGAGGAGTTCGGCACACATGGGGGGTGATGGTGGAGCTGTGCCGGTGACATGGCCGGAGGAGTTCGGCACACATGGGGGGTGATGGTGGAGCTGTGCCGGTGACGTGGCCGGAGGAGTTCGGCACACATGGGGGGTGATGGTGGAGCTGTGCCGGTGACATGGCCGGAGGAGTTCGGCACACATGGGGGGTGATGGTGGAGCTGTGCCGGTGACGTGGCCGGAGGAGTTCGGCACACATGGGGGGTGATGGTGGAGCTGTGCCGGTGACGTGGCCGGAGGAGTTCGGCACACATGGGGGGTGACGGTGGAGCTGTGCCGGTGACGTGGCCGGAGGAGTTCGGCACACATGGGGGGTGACGGTGGAGCTGTGCCGGTGACGTGGCCGGAGGAGTTCGGCACACATGGGGGGTGACGGTGGAGCTGTGCCGGTGACGTGGCCGGAGGAGTTCGGCACACATGGGGGGTGACGGTGGAGCTGTGCCGGTGACATGGCCGGAGGAGTTCGGCACACATGGGGGGTGACGGTGGAGTTGTGCCGGTGACGTGGCCGGAGGAGTTCGGCACACATGGGGGGTGATGGTGGAGCTGTGCCGGTGACATGGCCGGAGGAGTTCGGCACACATGGGGGGTGATGGTGGAGCTGTGCCGGTGACGTGGTATAATATGTCTCTCAGGGCCGGAACGCCGGTGAGCAGGTGAAGATGATTGGACGGGTGGAAGATCACAACAAGAAATGTCCCCCCGACCAGCGAATCAGAATCTCCGTGGAGATCGAGAAACAACGAGAGGAACTATTCCAACTTTTCCAACACGGTGATCTGGTGAGGAGATCATTATACTGACATCCCGGATATACCTTACCAGTGTATACAGGTAAAGGGGAGGAGTCTGTGTCATCCCGGATATACCTAACCAGTGTATACAGGTAAAGGGGAGGAGTCTGTATCATCCAGGATATACCTTACCAGTGTATACAGGTAAAGGGGAGGAGTCTGTGTCATCCAGGATATACCTCACCATTGTATACAGGTAAAGGGGAGGAGTCTGTATCATCCCGGATATACCTAACCATTGTATACAGGTAAAGGGGAGGAGGCTGTATCATCCAGGATATACCTAACCAGTGTATACAGGTAAAGGGGAGGAGTCTGTATCATCCCGGATATACCTAACCAGTGTATACAGGTAAAGGGGAGGAGTCTGTATCATCCCGGATATACCTAACCAGTGTATACAGGTAAAGGGGAGGAGTCTGTATCATCCCGGATATACCTAACCAGTGTATACAGGTAAAGGGGAGGAGTCTGTATCATCCCGGATATACCTAACCAGTGTATACAGGTAAAGGGGAGGAGTCTGTATCATCCCGGATATACCTAACCAGTGTATACAGGTAAAGGGGAGGAGTCTGTATCATCCCGGATATACCTAACCAGTGTATACAGGTAAAGGGGAGGAGTCTGTATCATCCCGGATATACCTAACCAGTGTATACAGGTAAAGGGGAGGAGTCTGTATCATCCCGGATATACCTAACCAGTGTATACAGGTAAAGGGGAGGAGTCTGTATCATCCCGGATATACCTAACCAGTGTATACAGGTAAAGGGGAGGAGTCTGTATCATCCAGGATATACCTAACCAGTGTATACAGGTAAAGGGGAGGAGTCTGTATCATCCAGGATATACCTAACCAGTGTATACAGGTAAAGGGGAGGAGTCTGTATCATCCCGGATATACCTAACCAGTGTATACAGGTAAAGGGGAGGAGTCTGTGTCATCCCGGATATACCTAACCAGTGTATACAGGTAAAGGGGAGGAGTCTGTATCATCCAGGATATACCTTACCATTGTATACAGGTAAAGGGGAGGAGTCTATCATCCAGGATATACCTTACCAGTGTATACAGGTAAAGGGGAGGAGTCTATCATCCAGGATATACCTTACCATTGTATACAGGTAAAGGGGAGGAGTCTATCATCCAGGATATACCTTACCATTTCATACAGGTAAAGGGGAGGAGTCTATCATCCAGGATATACCTTACCATTGTATACAGGTAAAGGGGAGGAGCCCATAGAAATGAGGGGCGGAGTCTTTATGATATAGAATACATGTCTGTGCAGTGATTGGTGACAGGTCCTCTGTCTCCGCAGGTGTTTGTCAGTAAAGATGTGGCCAGGTATTTGGGCTTCAATTCTGCAGCGGAGGCAGTTTTGGGTCTATACCCCCGGGTGCAGCAGGGGTAAGTGCTTATTCCTCCCCTTGGATCCCAGCCCCCTCCGCTCTCATTGGATCCCAGCCCCCTCCGCTCTCATTGGATCCCAGCCCCCTCTCTTCATTGTGATGGACATACGTCCGTCATCCTCTCTCTCTCTCTCTCTCTGTGCAGGGCTTACCTGGTATGTGCCTGGGCTGAGCAAGGAGCACATGCGGTGGGTCCAGAGGGACAAGTCATCCATTCCCCGGCCTTCCCCCCTGACGCCATTGTGGACACTCTAGGTGCTGGTGACACGTTCAACGCCTCCGTCATATGTGCTTTGTCTAAAGGTAAGTACACGGCTCAGCCGGTCAGTACCGGCTCTCAGTTATGGCACAATGGTCACCCAACATACATTCCCACAAATCTTCACTACCCGGGTCACATGTCCAATGTCTGTCCCTTCACTACCGGGTCACATGACCAGTGTCTGTCCCTTCACTACCGGGTCACATGACCAGTGTCTGTCCCTTCACTACCGGGTCACATGACCAAATCTTCACTACCGGGTCACATGTCCAATGTCTTCCCCTTCACTACCGGGTCACATGACCAATGTCTGCCCCTTCACTACCGGGTCACATGACCAGTGTCTTCCTCTTCACTACCCGGGTTACATGTCCAATGTCTTCCCCTTCACTACCGGGTCACATGTCCAATGTCTTCCCCTTCACTACCGGGTCACATAACCAATGTCTGTCCCTTCACTACCGGGTCACATGACCAAATCTTCACTACCCGGGTTACATGACCAGTGTCTTCCTCTTCACTACCGGGTCACATGACCAATGTCTGCCCCTTCACTACCGGGTCACATGTCCAATGTCTTCCCCTTCACTACCGGGTCACATGACCAGTGTCTTCCCCTTCACTACCGGGTCACATGACCAGTGTCTTCCCCTTCACTAGCGGGTCACATGACCAGTGTCTTCTCCTTCACTACCGGGTCACATGACCAGTGTCTTCCCCTTCACTACCGGGTCACATGACCAGTGTCTTCCCCTTCACTACCGGGTCACATGACCAGTGTCTTCCCCTTCACTACCGGGTCACATGACCAGTGTCTTCCCCTTCACTACCGGGTCACATGACCAGTGTCTTCCCCTTCACTACCGGGTCACATGACCAGTGTCTTCCCCTTCACTACCGGGTCACATGACCAGTGTCTTCCCCTTCACTACCGGGTCACATGACCAGTGTCTTCCCCTTCACTACCGGGTCACATGACCAGTGTCTTCCCCTTCACTACCGGGTCACATGACCAGTGTCTTCCCCTTCACTACCGGGTCACATGACCAGTGTCTGCCCCTTCACTACCGGGTCACATGACCAGTGTCTTCCCCTTCACTGCCGGGTCACATGACCAGTGTCTTCCCCTTCACTACCGGGTCACATGACCAGTGTCTTCCCCTTCACTACCGGGTCACATGACCAGTGTCTTCCCCTTCACTACCGGGTCACATGACCAGTGTCTTCCCCTTCACTACCGGGTCACATGACCAGTGTCTTCCCCTTCACTACCGGGTCACATGACCAGTGTCTTCCCCTTCACTACCGGGTCACATGACCAGTGTCTTCCCCTTCACTACCGGGTCACATGACCAGTGTCTTCCCCTTCACTACCGGGTCACATGACCAGTGTCTTCCCCTTCACTACCGGGTCACATGACCAGTGTCTTCCCCTTCACTACCGGGTCACATGACCAGTGTCTTCCCCTTCACTACCGGGTCACATGACCAGTGTCTTCCCCTTCACTACCGGGTCACATGACCAGTGTCTTCCCCTTCACTACCGGGTCACATGACCAGTGTCTTCCCCTTCACTACCGGGTCACATGACCAGTGTCTTCCCCTTCACTACCGGGTCACATGACCAGTGTCTTCCCCTTCACTACCGGGTCACATGACCAGTGTCTTCCCCTTCACTACCGGGTCACATGACCAGTGTCTTCCCCTTCACTACCGGGTCACATGACCAGTGTCTTCCCCTTCACTACCGGGTCACATGACCAGTGTCTTCCCCTTCACTACCGGGTCACATGACCAGTGTCTTCCCCTTCACTACCGGGTCACATGACCAGTGTCTTCCCCTTCACTACCGGGTCACATGACCAGTGTCTTCCCCTTCACTACCGGGTCACATGACCAGTGTCTTCCCCTTCACTACCGGGTCACATGTCCAATGTCTTCCCCTTCACTACCGGGTCACATGACCAGTGTCTTCCCCTTCACTACCGGGTCACATGTCCAATGTCTTCCCCTTCACTACCGGGTCACATGACCAGTGTCTTCCCCTTCACTACCGGGTCACATGTCCAATGTCTTCCCCTTCACTACCGGGTCACATGACCAGTGTCTTCCGCTTCACTACCAGGTCACATGTCCAATGTCTTCCCCTTCACTACCGGGTCACATGACCAGTGTCTGCCCCTTCACTACCGGGTCACATGACCAGTGTCCGCCCCTTCACTGCCGGGTCACATGACCAGTGTCTTCCCCTTCACTGCCGTGTCACATGACCAGTGTCTTCCCCTTCACTACCGGGTCACATGACCAGTGTCTTCCCCTTCACTACCGGGTCACATGACCAGTGTCTTCTCCTTCACTACCGGGTCACATGACCAGTGTCTTCTCCTTCACTACCGGGTCACATGACCAGTGTCTTCCCCTTCACTATCCGGCCTTTGTTTTCAGTTCTCTGTTATTTATCTGAGAGGGTTGTGATTGGTGGAGGTGTCACTGCGACCTTTCTGTCCTCAGGTCAGTCTATGGAGGAAGCTCTCACCTTCGGCTGTCGTATAGCGGGCAAGAAGTGCGGCATACAAGGCTATGACGGGATCGTCTCATGATCAGAGCTCCGCCCCGCCCTTCCCCCCAGAACAAAGAGCCAATCGGGGGGGAGGAGGAGGAGAGCCTGAAGCACCCACATGGGGAGGTCACAGGTCATGGGGTGCAGCTTTTAGAGTCTCAGCACTGAGGTCCTCTAATGACTTGTTTCTCCTCCATTATGATCCGTGTTCCTGGAAGGTGCGGAGTTGGGGCCCCGGTGGGGGCGACATTATGGAAAGCGCGGTGTACACACGACTCTGACCTGTCACCAGCCAGTAGGAGGCCCCGAGACAGGACTCCATATTAGAGGAGATCGGATGGAAGGGCCACAGCGCGCACAGCCTGGACTTCAATCTGCCAGAAAATCAGCTCTGTGGCCCCAAATCTCTTCCATCCAATCACAAGCCCAGAGTTCTCCATCATTGGCCAAAACCCTCCAGAGGAATCCCTCTCCTAGGCTGAGTGCGGATCTTCCATCAGATCCTTCTATGAGATCCCCATCGTCCCTCATACACCGTTCCATGACCGTTCCCATTATAAGACTCAGGCTCTGATTGGACCACACTGATCATTGTATGATAATGTCAGAAATGGATTTACAATAAAGTTTTTTTCACAACACAGCTGTCCCGTTATCGCTTCCCTGACACGTCACAGCAATGCTACACCAAGGACTCCCCTATGTGCGCCGGGCCTCCACCTTGGCCTCCCCCTCAGGTAATTGCCTCCCCCTTAGGTAATTGCCTCCCCCTTAGGTAATTGCCTCCCCCTCAGGTAATTGCCTCCCCCGAGGTGCCGTTTATAGAATCTGGCACTTCTAGGAGCTGGACCTCACCTGTGGACAGCCGCCCCTGCAGGGTACTGAGTAGAGCGCGCCTGTGCTGTCTATGGGGGATGTCACATGAGTGACGGAATCCGGCTGGGACTTGTAGTGTAGGAGGGACATGCTGGGAGTTGTAGTGTGCCAGAGACAGTAGGAGGGACATGCTGGGAGTTGTAGTGTGCCAGAGACAGTAGGAGGGACATGCTGGGAGTTGTAGTGTGCCAGAGACATTCATGCTGTCACAACCCCCAATTCTGCAGCTTCCTGCTAACACAGAGAGGAAGGATCCATACGAGGACATGGCACACGGGGGGGTGACATACGGGGGGGCATGACACACAGGGGGGGTGACATACGGC